TCGGCATCTGAGCATGAATACAAACTCGTCAGGTAGACAGCCTTCCTCTCCCACTAGAGCCTCCATACTCTGCTATCCCTGCCACTGTCCACTGTGCTGTCAGCAACCCCATCCCGTCCCTTTTTAAGTCAAATATTGAAAGTGGTGAAAAGAACAAGTCTGCTAGGAAATGTAAGACCAAGGTTCTCATACCTCCAAACTCTATCGCGTACTGATATGTGACTTTGAGCTGGTAATTTGAGTGCTATTTGTGTCGGTTTCCTGACTGTAGATCAGGATAGTAATACCTGCCTGCTTGCATCTTTCAGTGATTCTAAGGGACAAATAAGATAATTGTAAAGGAACTTTGTGAACATAGTGCTTCTTTACAAAAGTCTATCCAAGGGCAGTAGCTTCTGTTGACACAAAGGAAAGGCTATGCAAGGTCACTAACTTCTGTTATCTGAAAAGTAAGTCTATTAAATGTCAGTAACTTCTGTAGCTGGTGAAATTACAACAACTTTCTCATATAGGATTACTAATAAGATGAAGTCCTTTTTTTTTTTTTTTTATTAAATCTTTTGAGACAGGGTCTCCCTGTAGCCCCACCTCGCTATGTAGACCAGACTGGGCTAGAACCATTTTGTATTTCAGAGTCTCTAGTATTGGCCTTATTTTCAGAGTGATTCTTCCCTCAACACAGGAAAGGCTAAGGATTCCTGTTATTGGATAGGAGACACTCCTATTGCATTTGTTATAGTTCATTGTCTGATTGTGCAGCGGTCATGCATAGCTGGAGACCTAGTAAAGATGTCCATGCCCCAGATCGCAGAGAAAATGTCACCATCTGCAACAGTATACTTTTGAAGACTTGAGTTTGTTAAATATGTTTACAGAAGATTTCTTATGTTTCATGTTAGTTGAAATGGCTCCATATCTTACTGGGCTCACAGAAGCCTGGAGTAGACTGAAACTCTGGTTTCTCCTAGGTGTTCGATGCTGGAGACTATTCCCTGCTGTGCTCGGGCCCTAGTGAAAATGGACAGACGTGGACCGGAGGGGACTTCGTGTCTGCAGATAAAGTCATCATTTGGACTGAAAATGGGCAAAGCTACATTTACAAACTCCCTGCCAGGTATGTAACAGATCAGAAGCTAATCTTTTAGCAAAAGAATTCAGAATTTGATATGTAACTCTAAAGTATGAAACATAAGTAGTATAAATATTTAACCTCAGGATGTCTTAAGGGTGGACCGGAGGGGACTTCGTGTCTGCAGATAAAGTCATCATTTGGACTGAAAATGGGCAAAGCTACATTTACAAACTCCCTGCCAGGTATGTAACAGATCAGAAGCTAATCTTTTAGCAAAAGAATTCAGAATTTGATATGTAACTCTAAAGTATGAAACATAAGTAGTATAAATATTTAACCTCAGGATGTCTTAAGGTAGGGTTATAATCCATACTTGTAAGTACAAAAAAAAAAAAAAACAAAAACCAACTTGGTGGATTTTTGTTTCAAAGAGGATTTTCTTACATTTGTTTGTTTGTTTATTTCTTTATTTTTTTTATTGCATATGTGTGTGTGTGTGTGTGTGTAAAAAAAAAACAAAAACCAACTTGGTGGATTTTTGTTTCAAAGAGGATTTTCTTACATTTGTTTGTTTGTTTATTTCTTTATTTTTAATTTATTGCATGTGTGTGTGTGTGTGTGTGTGTGTGTGTGTGTGTGTGTGTAGGTCAGAGGACAACTTATGAGAGTTGGTTGTCTTCTTCTACTATGCGGATTGAACCCAGGTTGTCAGGCTTACAGGCAAACTCCCTTACCCATGAGCCATCTCTCTGGCCCTCAAGGAGGAATTTTTTAAACAGTTATTTAATACCTAGCTTAAATTAATTAAAACTTCAAAATACACCCCCCCCCCGCTTTTTTGTCTGTTGGCATAAATGCTTATTATGATGATGTGGAATAAATTATTGAGTATCAGTATTTTAAGTGGATATTATATTTTTCCTCTTTTCAGCTGTCTTCCAGCTAGTGATTCATTCCGCAGTGATGTGGGGAAAGCGGTTGAAAATTTGATCCCTCCTGTACAACATAGCTTCTTGGATCGAAAAGATAAAGAGGTAAAATTTATAATTGATAGTTACATTGAACGATCATTTGGTGTCTAAGCATTTGAAGGATTCAAATAAAATTCAATAAAATCTAGGAATGCTAGCATTTGCAAAGCATTTTGTTGTGGTTAATTGCAAACACATTTCAAAATTTGCTTATTTTAAAATACATAATGTATCTATTAAATAGTACTTGCCTTTAAGAGTATATGTGTCTTGACTTTATTAGGTATTGGAATTGACTTATAAAATTTGTATTGAGTGTTAATTTATTCTATACTTATGCAGTTAAAAGCACAGGGACAGACAGTTTGAAAGGCAAAGATAATAGTGATCATGCTGACTAATGCTAGTTTGCTTCTTGAATAACTCATTGCAACATATCCCCAAAGTCAATTACTGATTTAAATAATGAGTAAAAATGAAAATAAAATATTTTTCTCTATCAAAGTAGAAACTTACAGTTTCTAAAAGCCTGTTTCCTATCCATTTACAATTGAAATGCAATAGGCCTTTTATTGGAGTTTCAGCTTTGTGCTGTGTGAGCAGTAAGAAGGGAGCTTTGATTCTGGAAGGAAAGCTTCCTATGCTACTATTATGGGTTCCAGTTTCATTGACTTGAATCTTCTGTCCCGTCCATAAATGGGATGAAGAGAATTGAGTTTTTTTTCCTATGACTATTTTGCATATATAGAATTTGTATGTTTCTTAATTTCCTTGCTACTGTCAGCTCAGTCAGCCACTTCCACTTAAACTAAGGGATAGTGACTTGCATAAAAAAAAACCTACACAAAACAAAAAATAACATGCTATATTAGTTATTTGTCTCATTTCTGTGATAAAATACCTGATAAAAGCAATTTAAGGAAGGGAGGGTTTATTGTGGCCCACTGTTTAGCGGTGCAGTCCATTATGCTGAGGAAGTCATGGTGGCAGCAGTATTAGGCAGTGCTCACATCGCATCCACAGGCAGAAAGCCGAGGGCTATGAATGCTGGTGCTCAGCTGCTTTCTGTTTTTCTGCGCTTGTAGATCCCAGCCCATTAACTGGTACTCTCCACATTAAGGATGGGTCTTCCCTCCTCAATTAACCTAATCTAGAGAATCCCTCACAGATGTATTCAGAGGCTGTATCGTCACAGATTCTGGATCCTGTCAGGTTGACAACCAGTATTAACCACTTCGTGTACTTATCATTTTTCTTTAAATGTAGCTCTCTAGTACATCTTAGTACATTTTAATTTAAAATGTATGTATGATATGGTAAGAGATAGTCATACATTGAAATGTGGCATATTGGTTATCATAGCTGGTATAGCAAAGCCCTGTTAAATGTGTACTTTTGAATTAAAATGATCAAGGTTTAAAGTAAAGTTAAATAACTGGCTATCCTTGTTAGATCTTGTTTCCAGAGGCTAATACTTTTTGTGAAGTAACCAAATGCTGTACCTAGATTATTTGTGAACTGTAAGTTTCAAAACTGAAAATTATTGTTTTTCAGACTAAGATTCTATTAGTTTGTTAACATTGGTTCTATAAATATAATCAAGTACAATGCTGTTAGTTGAAAATTGACCTTATTTTTTAAAATGGGCCCACTAGTTGGGGCCCACCAAGTTTGGTAGTTTGATTTTCATATTGTTCTTAGTTACTTATCAGTGGGCAAAAATGATAGGAATAATGAGCTTTTTTATTGCTCTTGTAAGTAAAGACTTCTTTTTTGGTAAAGAGTGACAGAATATATTAATTATTCAATAATAGGCAATTAAGTAAATTACCTTGTGGTAGCTAGTAACCAGTTTTTATAGAGAAGAACAAAACATTATAAACATAATTTTTAGAGAAAGGCTGTAAATACAGTTTTTTGGTTCCTGTAGTATTTATGCTATACTAGAATTGGTGTGTATATTGATGTTATATAATCATGTGAAAATATATTGAATAATCATGCTCGTAGAACTCTTAAAACTAGGATATGAAGCAAGGTATCTAAGCCTTTATTTGAAAACATGTTATTATATGAAATACTTTGATTCCAAATATAGCTAAATACATTTGAATTTTTTTTTGACAGTTGCTAGTTTGTCCTCCTGTGACTCGGTTCTTTTATGGATGCAAAGAATATTTCTATAAGCTGTTAATTCAGGGTGACTCTTCTGGACGATTAAATATTTGGAGCATATCAGACATAGCTGAAAAACAGGAAGGTGATGAAGGTAATAGTAAATCTTTTTTTTTTCTTTTTTTTAAGACAGGGTCTCTCTATAGCCCCAGCTGGCTTGGGACTCTATGTAGACCAGGCTGGCTGGCCTTGATCTTATAGAATCCATTTGCCTCTGCCTCCTAAGTGCTGGGATTAAATACGTAGGTGATCATGCCAAGCTAATAGTAAATATTGTGCATTGATTTCTTAATTTGTTTTAACATTTTGAATCATAACCATTGACTAAAATGTGATAATTTTTTTTTCTTTTTTGAGACAGGGTCTCCCTATAGTCCCACCTGGGCTGGAACTCATTATGTAGACCAGGCTGGCCTTGATCTCACAGAGATCCTCCTGCCTTTGCATGCACCAGCACTCCTGGCATGATAATGTTAATATAGAATTTTTCTCTAAGAATTATATTTGATAAAAGTAACCTTTCGGTAATTTATTGAATGACTCAATTATCTTTGTGTTTTTTTTTTTTAACCTAAATGTATTTATTTTATATGAAACCAAACTTATACAGGGCTAAAAATGACAACTTCTATTAGTTTGCAAGAGGCATTTGACAAGCTGAAGCCTTGTCCTGCTGGAATTATAGATCAACTAAGTGTGATTCCCAACAGCAACGAACCTCTTAAAGTCACTGCCAGTGTGTATATACCAGCGCACGGACGACTTGTTTGTGGCCGGGAAGATGGAAGCATAATTATTGTACCTGCCACCCAGACTGCTATAGTTCAGCTATTACAAGGGGAACACATGCTCAGAAGAGGTATTTGGACAATTTACCAGTGTCTAAAGTGTTTTGAGAACTCTGACATTGATGTTGAGAATGTCATTATGTTACACTTATTAGTGTAGTAGGTAATTGGTAGTTAAATGTTCAGATGATAAAATATTAAGTACCCATTATTGGAATAAATACCATGCAGTGTCTTTAAATTAAAGGAAGCATTCAAATTTTATCTCTTGGCATTTATGAATAGTTTCATAAATTATTAGTTGTTTCCATTGATTGCTAAGTAGCTGTGTTATCAGCCATATTAATAATACTGTAGAACAGTGCTACTCAGTAGAAATCTAAGGTAAACTATATATGTAATTTCCTGATATCCTTGTTAAAAAATGAAATGAAACATGAAATTGCCCGTAATACTGTATATCGTATAGCCCAATATAGCAAATTTTGATAATTTTGGTAGTTTTTATTTGTAATCCATATGGAAATTATGAATGCAATACTTTACATTATTTCTTTTTATACCAATTCTTTAAACTATGACAGTTCGACTGTGCAGCAGCTATGCATCTGGATTAGCTCCATCTAAGGCTTATTAGCTGTGTAAATAGTAGCTACTGTACTTCAGAGAGTGGTTTTAGAAGATAAAATTCATACCTCTTCTGACATTTCATGTTTACTTTTATATGTTGAAGCATTTTGAGACTTTTCATGTCCCCATTTAAAATCTCAAACCTCATTCACAGGTTGGCCCCCTCACAGAACTCTCCGTGGTCATCGGAACAAAGTCACATGTTTGCTGTATCCTCATCAGGTCTCAGCTCGCTATGATCAAAGATACCTGATATCTGGAGGTGTGGATTTTTCTGTCATAATTTGGGACATATTCTCTGGAGAAATGAAACATATCTTCTGTGTTCATGGTGGCGAGATCACTCAACTTCTGGTCCCACCCGAAAACTGCAGCGTAAGTTGCTTTATCTAAGATAAGGTTTCACCATGGTAGAGGGGCCTCTGATGCTATTAGCATATAAATGGAAACCATAGTAACTTAAAGGAGCTATCATGAGAGAACCAACCAAACTCTCTCAATTTTAACAGTAAGGTAGTAGTAACTTATAGTCAAAATTATGATCATTTGCTATTGGGAAAATAGAGAGACCGTGAACTTGGTAATTTTTACTTACTGTTATCTTCTAAATTACGTGACATGTTCCTAATAGCAATTTGGAAAATAATTATTGAGTGAAATGTCAAGGATCTTTTTAGAGCAGTTTAAATATCCCCAAAGGTCTGAAGATACCCTATCCTCTCTCTCCTGACTTTTTATGCGAGTTCTGGGCTTTGAACTTAGATCCTCATGCTTGTGAAGCAAGTGCTCTTGTGTACTCAGCCATCTAACCAACCTCTTACAAAAAATTGTAGTGCTTTAATGCTTCAGGCCTGTACATTTCATTTTAACCTTGTTCTGACAGCTGAGAAATTTAAGTCACATAGAGGAGATATAGACCAATTTGAAAATTTGAACAGCTGTTCAAGACTGACTTGGGTAAATTATTGACAGCTGAACTCTAGGAGAGTGGAGACCAAAAGATGTTTCTAAGACCTTCGGTGCTGTAGCTGAAAACTCCATCTAAGCCTTGCTCATTAGGACTGTGCAAGACATGAGCTTGTTCAACACCTTCCCTCCCACAGCTTTAGTTTGCCTTTCCTTGCCCTTGTATCACAAATTCTCGTGTAGTCTCTACTTACCAAGACTTAGAATTTTTTGTTCTCACATAGGTGGTTGTTAGAGAAAGGAAATAGACTTTCTGAAAAATACTAAAAGAAGAAAAGTTTTAAAGTACCAAGAGTTCATTATAAAACATTTCCCTTAAGAGAGCGTATATATAGGATTGGCAGCAATAAAAAGCCAGATGTTAACAGGAGTGACCCTCTAGAATATTTCCTTTTTAAGGAAAAGTGGTCTTTGCATGGGCTTTTTTCCATTTTCCAGCTAATTCTCAGTTGTAGAGGGGAACCAAATTTAGAATGGAACATTTGTGTGTATGATAAAGTAATACAACTTTACTTACATTTAAAAACACATAAATCCATACAGCCTATTCATGGATACATGTGTAGGTAGTGTCCTAGTTTGTTTCCTATTACTGTGACAAAAAACATTGACCAAAACCAACTTAGGGAAGAAAGGGTTTATTTCATCTTACAGCTTCCAAGTGACAGTTCATCACTGAGGGAAGTCAGGAATTCAAGGCAGGAACCTGGAGGCAGGAGCTGAAGCACAAAACATAGAAAAACAATGCTTACAGGCTTGCTCCTCTGGCCTGTGTTTAGCCTACTTTCTTATACAACACAGGCCCACTGGCCCACGGGTGACACTGCCCACAGTGGCCTGGGCCCTCCCACATCACTCAACAGTCAAGAAAATGCTTCACAGAAATGGCCACAGACCAGTTCAAGGGAGATAATTCAGGTTGACAACTGAAGTGATCCATCACAGGAAGTATGAAAATTGAACTAGAAGAGTAAGTCCCAAGTTCAGATCTTGGTTTACTTTTGAAGTAAAGGGAATGAGTACGGAAGGGGATAGAAAATGTGACATTTTTAAAATGTCAGATTTTGTTTACCTTTTGTAAATATATACCTAATATCTTTTCTCATTCATATTGACAATTAAATTGTCAGAGGTGTTTTTCTGTTATTAAAACTACTTAGAGAAGAATTTTTGCAAAACTTTGAAAATAAATTATTTAGTACTAATGTTATATCTATGCATGTGGACTTATGTAAGTTAAGCTCTTTAATATATTTGCTAAAAACTTTATTTTCCATTTATTACGTTACTTTTAGCATCATAGAATCTCCAAAAGGATCCAGAAGGGGGCAGCATCGATTTGCCAAAATAGGAATATTGATATAGCTAGTATGATCCTTGGTGGTTGTGCCTTCATTCGACATTGTTGAAGTTTTGTTTCCTACAAGTTTAAGAATATGAATGGTTTAAGTGATTTGGTGGTAGAGATGCTGTGAATAGTCAGTTAATTGATGTCTAACATTCAGGTGAGGAAAAAGTATGATGCAAAGACTAATTCTTCTTGAGAATCTGGTAATAAGGCAATTTCAACTTAAGTTATGATTTCTTTTAAAATTTCTCTATGGTTACTATTCAATTAGATATAACTTTTTAGATTAGGGACAAGGATACAATCATGAATAAGATATAGTTGCTGGGGCTGAACAACCTGAAATAGCCATTTGTGAAGTCAGGCCCTGAGAAACAAAGCTTTAGAGCCAGGTCTGGGTTTGCGACGTCATCCATGGTGATTTCAGCAGATTACTCGACTTCCTTTCCTGTTTGTAGTTCCTGGGCTGTTTAGTACTCATTGTTTCATTACTAATGTAATTCGGTTCAGTGTGCCTCACTTGGGTGGAAAAGACCTAGTTTTGAGCATTTTGTTCACTCATTTCCAGTATGGAATTGTGCGGTTTCTCTGTTGAAACTGCTTTCCCTTTCCTTGTTTTGCAGCCAGTTTAGAACTTGTCCAAGTCAGGGGTGAGTCACCTTTCTCTTCCAGGTCTGACTTTGAAATGTTTTTTTGTTTCTTTTTTTTGAGGGAGGCAGGGAGGATTGATTATTGTTAGTTATAGGGCTGGAGAGATAGCTCAACAGTTAAGAGCACTGACTACTCTTGCAGAGGACCTGGGTTCAGTTCCTGACCTCCAAATGGCAGCTAACAACCATCTGTAACTCCAGTTCTAGGGTATCTGATGCCTGCTTCTAGACTCTGTAGGCAGTAAGCTCATGGATGAACTTACATACATGCAGGCATGTATGTATATATAATTAATTAGATTAATTAAAAATTATCTAATCATACATATAGTTAATTAGATTAATTAAAAATTATCATTAGTCATATATATTTTAATTCACAAGATAATTTTACAATTTTATGGGCTATTGAGTAGCATTTCAATTACTTTGTTTCTTTTTATAGCACAAGGCAGAAATTTCAGGATACCAAGAAACAGTTACTAGATAAAAGGGTTTTATTCTTTTCTAATCTTAGAAAACAGTTCTTAAATACTGCCTATGGTTCCTGCTCAAGACCTGAAATTGGAGTTTTCACCAGCTTGAGATGCCCAACCATGACATTTCTTTGACACCCTTGTGGGTAGATCACAGAGGGTGCAACTTTTAACCTTTACAGAGTCTTTGCTAGCAAGGCCCCATATCATGAAGGGAGAAATTTTAACCAATGTATTGGTTTTCTTAGGGCATAGATTGGATTAGGTACTAATAATGGACTTTCAATACTAGGTTCTTTACATTCTTTGATACAACTTCCAAAGTAAGCCAATATTCATTTTAAACAAAGATACATTTAACTCATGCATTCTGTTAATATGCTACTAGGAAAGAGGCATGAATCCTTCCATAATTCCATAATATCCATATATCCATTTGTTTCTATGAGAAAGGAAGTGTTTGTTGATCTATCAAATCTGTGCAGATGATACGCAAATTCAGTGTTTATTTTTTATAAGGACACAAGTATAATAGGATAGTAAGGTAGACAAGCAGATTAAAAATTGCAGGTCAGGGGGCTGGAGAGATGGCTCAGCAGTTAAGAACACTGACCGTTCTTGCAGAAGACCTGGGTTCGAATCCCAGCACCCACATGGCAGCTAACAACTGTCCGTAACTCCAGTTCCAGGGGATCCAACAGGCTCTTCTGTCCTCTGGGGGCATTGCACGTCAGGGGTGCACATACATACATGCAGGCAATACATGCATACACATAAAATAAAAGTAATAAATAAAATATTTTTTAAAAATTGCAGATCAGATGTTGGATGGCTTTGATGTTCTAAGTATAGACAGCCACCTGTCTATTGGTCTTAATTCAGTACATTCTGTTAACTCGGTTGTAGGGACAGGTGACTAGGATGCAGAGTGTTAAAGGATGATGCGTGTGTGCATACATAAACGTTCATTCATTGGATATAGGTTCTTGCTATGTGGCCAAAGCTAGGCCTCAAACTTGTAATTCTGATGTCTCGGCCTCCCAAGTGGTACAATTACAGGCCTATGTCAATATGCAGTATAGGATGATGTTTTGGGGTTGCTAAAAAAATAAAAAAAAATTAGAATATTTTCAGGCTCTCCAGATTTGGCCATCTTGGTACCTAAAACCCATAAATACATTGTGGAAATTAAAGTTAACATTTTAATGTTTAAATACATGAAGTGTAAAATAACAAAGTCAGTAGAGAAAAAAGATGAAAAATATTCAAGGAACAGAGGAAGGTGGTCACTGCATTGTTAGATTGAATTAAATTTTTTTAAAAATTATTTTTATTTTATGTTATGAATGTATTGCCTGCATGTGTGTAAGTGCATCTGTGTCATGCAATGCTTGCAGAGACCAGAGGAGGGCGTTGGATCCTCTGGAACTGGAGTTACAAAGAATTGTTAGCCGCCATGTAGGTTCTGGGAATTGATCCTCTGCAAGAGCAGTCAGTGCTCCTAACCACTGAGCATCTCTCCAATCGCCTAGATTGAATATTTATATTGGCCACAAATTGTTAAGATTAGTATAAAATTCATGAATGTATTTTAAGATAGCATGTGAGGAGTAGTGTTGATTATGCAGGTGGAACTATTCAGTTAAATTAGAGGCATTCATATAAGAAAATGGTGAAAGGGAGTTGAAACCAATATATTTGAGAGTTATAAGTGTTTTAAGTGGATACCTCAGTATTGACAGCTTTAGGAACCTATTCAGAAAATAAATGTAATTACATTTTAAATGACAGACTCTATACAATGACAATAATAATTATGGTGTAGATAATATTAACTACTACTGTTTTTTGTATTCATGACATATAGTCATGTGGTAATTTGATTATGTACATTTCTTATAGTGTACAAAACAATTCTGTGAGCTGTATTATCCT